GGTCAAGGTTGATCGCCAAGTCTCAATCTTCAATCTATTTTTAAAAGATTTTTCATTTAATTCTCTACACAAAACATATTGAACATTTCGTCATACACTCTAAGAATAAAAAAATGTAGACGAAATATGGAAAAGCTTCAATATCGATTACTTTCAAACCCAAATTTTGAACACGGTACTATGCATCAAAGTGGAATCGAAATGTATTTTCTGGTACTCCAGAATATCACATTTCTTTTAGATCTTTTGTATCATACGTTCGCTTTAAATTTTTTTTCTCCCACTAATGAAGATTTTACTAATGGAAAAAGAAAGGAAGATTTGATTTCTTCGTCTTGGCACAGAAAATGAAATGGGGTTATTCGATTTTCTCTGTTCGGGTGTACCAGAAGAAAATATTTTGACTTAAGATAAACTAGATCCAACGTCAGAATCTATGGCTTTTACTGAATCATTCAAATTCTATTTACGAAGTGTCTCAAAACCGCAGTTAGAAAATGATGATTTTGGGCAAAAACTCGCTAACAGAATTTTTTTTCCTCCGATTGCTAGAGCCTATAAAGAGTTTTAAATATGGCCAGTTGATAGAGTTTTTCGAGAACTACAAAATGGCCATTTTCTCTTTTTTTATATCGTAAAATATGAGGAACTGAAATTGTAAAATCGGTTTTTTGAGTTTGCAAGTAATCGATATTGAAACTTGTGGCTTATCTTTAATAGCTCTTAAAAATTGATTTTTAATGAAACTAACGCGGGAAGGACTTCAACTTGCAAGTCGCTTTTTCGATGATACCAGATGGACTATACGTAATTGATGACGCTGATTCCAGATATGAATATCAGAGCTACTCTTAGGCTTTTGTTCACCGATTTTCTGAAAACTGCATCCTCTTAAAACTAGAAAACAAATAAAAAAAAAATTTTCTGATTCGGCCATTTTGTAGAGGATACAAAATTGTCTATGTTCGATAAATTTTAGTTTATCAAAACAAAAATCAATAGCGTACGAAAATCTCCCAAAAAGGGTGGCTACGCTGGTTTTGATGGGAAAATATTGCAGTAGGATACTTTGCAAAAATCATAGCACCGTTCAACGATACATTGAAAAACTAAAACTTATGGAACATAGACAATTTTGTGTCCTCTACAAAATGACTGATTCAGAAAAATAATTGCATTTGGTTCCTGTTTTTTTGAAGATTCAGTTTTCAGAAAACCGTTCAACAAAAGCCTACGGGCAATTTCGATAGTCATATTTGGAATCAGCGTCATCAATTACATATAGTTCATCTGGTTTCATCGGAAAAAACGATTTGCAACTTGAAATTCTTCCCTCGCACTGATAGATGAGGTCAACCGCTGGTTCTGTTGAGACTAGCTTGCGTACCGTCTTGTTTTTCAGTCACAATCTATAAATATATTCTGCTTTTTCGTAAAATACACAAGTTGTACGGTAAAAGAATGTCATAGTACTTAATGATAAGAACATTGTTTTTTTATGCCGATCTTTCATGAATGTCAAGATATAGAGATAATCTTCAATTCCTCAAGAAAAACAAAAACAAATCTTGTAAACACACACCTTCTATTATCTGATTACTCAATAGTAAACAAATTTTTAAGAAGAAAAGAGTTAGCAGTGCAAAACCAAAATAAATTATATCTGATCTATAGACAATTGTTTCTTACCAGAAATACATGGAACTTTCTCTTCGTGATCTGTGAATTTTTCAAAAATTTTGTCTCATGAGACTCCTATGGTGGATTTCCTTTTCGTCTTCATCCCATACAGTAAAGCATCACAATGTAAAAGTTTATCACACAAAACAATGTTCTATTCATAGGGAAAAAAAATTCATATCTATACCTTTCTTTTATATGCAGTACAATATTCCACAAGACAAAAGCAAAAAAAGATTTTTCAGATTAGTAATAATTGTTTGCCTCGTCTCGCGATCTTCCTCGTTCTCCGTTCATCTATTTCTCACTTACTAATATTCTTATCCTTCCATTAGAAGAGAACAAAGAAACATTTGTATTCTCGACGAATATCAAATATTTCTGCTGTAAAACAAAGTGTAAATTTACATTTCACATTATACACAGTACACGTTACACCAGAGAATATTTTTGAAAAGAAAAAAAAATCAATCTAATTTATTTACATGTGGACACTCTATCATTAGAAACGCTGGTTTCACCGGAAGACAATTCTCATTAATTAGCAGGCGTATTCGCTTTATGTCCAGGTTGTATACTGTTACGATCGTATACTGCGCTTGATTTAACATCTCTAAGACTAAGACTAAGACTAAGATTTATTATTATTCACGAAAAGTGAGAGTCATCAAAGGTCACCGACCTGTAGTAACAATGACTCAAGCCAAACAACACCAAAATAGTAATAAAAAAATAAGAAAATAGAGAAGACAACTAAGATTAGAACCAGAAGTAGTAAATAAAACACAAAAATTTTTAAAAATAAAACAAAAGACAAAAAAGAACAAGCATAAATGCTTAACTGACAAGCGTTTCACTGGAAGAGATACTGAAGTAAGGCTGTTTTGAAAGACATAAAAGAAGAAAGACAAATAACTGACTCTGGAAGATTATTCCAATCAGTAATAGTTGAATAAAAAAATGAAGAATGCACCGTTTGTGGAGAAAAACCATCAACAGAAGGTGGAAGACGAACGTATTTAGAATGATAAAGATGTAATCTCAGAGCTCATCGTGTAGGCTAAAGACTAAGACTAAGACTGTTTTATTCACGAAAAGTGAGAGTTATCAAAGGTCACTGACCTATAATAAATGACTCAAGCCAAACAACACAAAAAGAGTAATAAAAAAGAACAAAATAAATAAGACAACTAAGATTAGAACCAGAAGTAGTAAAAAAAAGAACAAATATAAATTCTTAACTAACAAATGTTTCACTGAAAGAGATACTGACATAAAGCTGTTTTGAAAGACGTTAAAGAAGAAAGACAAATAACTGACTCTGGGAGATTATTCCAGTCGGCAATAGTTGAATAAAAAAAAAGAAGAATGCACCGTTTGCGGAGAATAGCCATCAATAGAAGATGGAATACGAACATATTTAGAATGATAAAGACGTAAAGATGAGTAGTAAGGACGATGAATAGTATAGAAAAGAGAAACACGACTTAGACGATGATAAATTTTGAAAAACTGTAGAAGTCTAAAGTGTTTACGACGAAGAGTGAGATATCGGAAGAGAAAGTTGAGACACAAGTAGAGAATCTAGAAGATAGTCAAAATTGCGAGAAATAACACGAGAAGCAAGTTTCTTTACAGAATCAAGAACAGTAAGAGAAAACGAACTCATACAAAGGCACAGCAATAGTCAACTTTAGGAAGAATCGAAGAAAGATAGATTCGACGCCGACCTCCAGTTGGAGCTAATCCAAAGACACGGTTCAATGTTCCAAGCTTCCGCCGACAAGCAAGAGCAAGACCGATTTATATCTCCCCTCTCGCTTTCACAAACAGTACTCGCATGGTACGAACATACCGAGCTCAGCTAAAACAAAACGAAACATTTAATTCAGACAGATAGGCTAGTTGGTTAGTGACAAACAGTAGCATAGTGTAATATCCATGCTATATTAAGCAATAGTCCATCGTTTATTATTGGATGCAACTGCTGAAATACGTAGATGTCGCTGACTCTGAGTTGATACTCTGCTCGTCATATTCTATAATAATTGAAAATTTATTAAAATTACTAAACAAAAGGATTTTTACCGTGATCAATGTTAGACTTGAAATCAACATTAAGGTTCACATCTCATAAGTCAAGATGGCTATGAAACAAAGACTTGAATTTATTAAAAAAATTACTTTATGACTAGTAGTTTTTTTTACCTAGTGAACGATTCTTTGTTTGTAAAAACTTTGACTAATTTGGTTGTATGTAGTTTTTCTGAAAGCTTTAGATTTTGTTTTTTTATGAGGTCAAACTTTTTACGAAGTGCTGTCTGCCCTCAGAAAAAAGAAGTACGGGTCATTTTGAAGGTGTACTTCTATAGGTCTTCGTAGGTCAAAATGTTAGTTATGGATAGAATTATTCTTGATTCAAACGAAAATAAGTCGCGATTTCAATAGCGTATACTTTTGACATTATAGGATATTTTCGCGAAAGTTCAGAATAGTCAAACATTGCATGTTATCTTCATACTATGAGATCAATTCTTTCGTATTCGATTTTGATAATAAGATTAAATGCAAGAATCTTAAGATTCAGAGCGAAGTATTAGATTTTGTATCCCATAATTTTTATTTATTCTTATTGTAGTTGTTTTTTCCTCATCTTAGATTATAATTTTTAATTGAAATTTTTAGTTGATAGTAGAGGGTGTGAACAAAAATGTTTTATACTCATGCCATCTTAACGAAACGTGGTCCATTAGCTCGTTTATGGCTAGCGGCACATTGGGACAAAAAATTAACAAAAGCTCAAATATTTGAAACAGACATTAGAGCATCGTGTGAATCTATTTTAGAACCTTGTGTAAGTATATTACTCACTTTAAAGTTATGCTCTTGGATAACGAATACAATTATTTTTTTTTAATGAAACGTAGATTACCTAGAAGTGGGAAAATTTTCTAACTTTCACTTTATCTTAGATTTTGATCCAATTACAGTTAGAATGTTTCTTGTGTCATTTGTTTTTTCTATACTCTTAATTGTTTCTTATAGTTGAAACTGGCATTGCGTACGAAAGGTCATTTACTATTAGGAGTTGTTCGAATTTATTCTCGTAAAACAAAATATTTATTAGCTGATTGCAATGAAGCATTTATCAAAATTAAAATGGCATTTAGACCGGGTATTGTCAGTACGAATGGTGCTGGAGGCGGTGGACAAGATGGAAATTTAGCTTTAACACAAGATGGACTCCAAGGAGATCAACGAGAAGTATCAATTGCAGCTATTACTCTACCAGAAAACTTCCATGAATTTGATGGTCTGATTGACTTGGATATAGAGTATGTTCAAAAATTTTTAATGTCTACAACATTTTAATAAGTATATTTTTATCTATCTTTCAGTTATATTGATGATCCATCCCGTTTTCAACTTCACCAAGCTCGTGCCGAAGAAATTACATTAAAAGAAGATTTTATAACAGTACCCATGCCACTAGATGATGATTTTGGTAAGATTTCAATAAGAAAATGTTCCTACGTTGGATTTTGCTGGATTTTTTTGAGTAGAATTCAAAACCTGAAAACAGAAACCGTTCATGTGTCATCGTCTTAGTTTTAAGCATTATTTCATCTCTATGAAATAAACAAATATTTCTACATATATCATTTTCATCACTGGCAAATATGTATGTTTTTCAAGTCAGTTTTAGTATCGTGAGTATGAAAAGTATTTGGACTATAACGAGCATTCTCTATGCAAAATTTTCGTTGATGAATCATTGTTGTTATAGCCAAAGTCTCTGTAAACTAGCTCGACATCATGGATGAGTGATTTGCGAATGGTTTCTGTATTTTGTAAATGACCATTTGAAAACACATGGAAATATCGTATAAAATCTATTGCATCAGTTAAACTTATTTGATTTACTAACTTCTCTTACCATTTTTCTTTTGCTTTTTTTTAGGCGACTATATGGATGACAGCGATATATTCCGTAAAAATCTTCAATCCACTTTACACTATAATAATTCAGTGGGATACGATGGTGAGAAACATACAAACAATTCAGCGATGTAAAACTATTGCCATTTTTGCTTTTCTTCTAGCAATAAGAAAAGATCACAGTCTAATGAATGGCGATCAAGATGAACCATTTTTTGATGATAGTACGTACAAAAGAAATTGATAGTAAATCAGTACTGATTCTATTTTATTTTTTTGTCCCTATTTCAGTTCATCCACCTGCTTCAGTCATATCCGCAATAGGAATTGGTGGTGATAATTCAAATTTATCCGCACAAGATCAGTATGATCATGTCATGTCACCATTTGCACGTAAGTTGTGCTATTGTACCCTATCTTAGAAAGAAGGTTCATCTTTTTGATTTTGTTGTTCTAGAAGATGAGATTTCTCCACTTGATGATCATCAACCTCCTCCAGACAATCAAGACGGAAGAATTGATCGTATGTGCAGTATTTCATTTATTTTCATAACAAAAATATTTTTCGAATTATTTTCTAAACTGTTTTATACACTTGTATCATTTAATATAGTTAAAATGAAACTATTTTCTGTAAGTTAATCATTGCTTTTGTTTTTCACTCTCTTTCAGTTGTTCCATCAGATAACAATCATATGGATGTTGGTAATGATTATCCTGCTTTACCTTTATCCAAACCCGTTGCTTATGATAGAAAAACGCTAACAACTGGTGTTGATGATACTACGTTGCTCTCAAATGCATCAGATGAATTTGTTCTACCACCAATTGCAACAAGAGGTAAATACTAAAGATAAAATTTTCCCTTTATTTTCTCTCTACCGCTTAATATCCCTTCTAATCTCTACGTTATTATTTAAATAAAAGTCATTTTTGTCTCTATTTTTAGCTCAGGATGTTACTTTAACTCGTACTACACGTCATGCAAAACGTAAGCGTAAATTATTAATTGATGATATTAAAGAGATCGATAGTCAATCGATGAAAACGCAATTAAGTGATACATCGGATATTGTGGGCGTATTGGAATTAGCTCCACCAACGAGACGTTTGATGCATTGGAAAGAAACAGGTGGTGTTGAAAAATTATTTACATTAACGGCAACACAAATATTTTCAAAATCATTACAACAAGTTAGTAATATATTATGACTGTCTCTGATTTAAATTAGAATATCTATACTTGATTTGATTTGATTTATTTTTCTAGTTAATTCAACGTAATATGATAACAAAATCATTACTTGATATGCCAAATTATGTTATAGAACCCGATGAATTATCACAACAGAGTATTGATGAAGCAAGACGAGCAGCAATTGGAGATTTGAATTTATTACATGGTGGAGAACAGTCTCTTATGTTACATGATAAAAATCAGACTCTATCGCCGAGACGGCGATCACCACATAAAAAGAGAACATTATCCAAAGATGAACAAGAAGAAGAAGAGCAACAACAAGACAAAAGACGGCGTACAGCAATGGAACAACAACAGGACATGCTACCACCACTATGTAAATATTTATTAAAATCATAATTGAAGAAAATGTTGGATAATAAGAACAAAATTAATTTCATTATTTACTCTTTTAGGTGATATGTTGCCACCAATGGATTCCATGTTACCTCCATTGAGTGATAATTTGATGATGCCACCTCCATCTGTTGATCAAGGTGGACCACTATCTGTATCAGGACCTCCTTCAGTGCTACCACCACCGCACTCTCCAATGAGACGTAGTACAAGAAAAAATCAAAGTGAACAAAAATCAACACCATCAAAACGAAGAGAACGAAAAACAACATTTAGAGAAGAAGAGGAAGAAGATGAGGAAGATGGTGAAACACCAACGGCACAAGACGTAAGAATAATTGATTTTGGACTGAAAAATAGAGATGAAATTTAATCTATTTCATATGATATGTGAAAAGATGGACCAGAATTCCCAATCAGTGGAGGTCAATTCCCCTCTGGAAATTTTTTTGACTTTCTGGCAAAATTGTTGACGTTTTTCTACTAGCAACTTTCTGCGAAGCAAAATTTTTAGCCCCTCCCCCGATCGGAAACCTGAGATGGACAAGTAATTTAAATTACCCTATCGTTTATGTTATTTATTTCAGGATTTTGAATCTGGTCGTAAGCTATCACGTCGTGGTCGTACAATGTTACAAATGTTAGAAAAAGGTTTTGAATATGGTGATGCTGTATCATTTCATAATCATCTTACATCAACATCAACAAAATCATCAATAAATCGTAAAGTTATGGCACAAAAATTTTATACTCTTCTTGTATTAAAAAAACTACAAGCTGTTGATGTTGAACAAATGGGACAATATGAAGATATTCTTGTGACAAAAGCAAAACAATTTGATCGACTTTTAACCATTAATGAATGACAGTCACATTAAATAGACAGACATTTAATGCAGTATTACTCGCCTTTTTGCTCAACATTAAACACATCACCTAATGCTCTGTCATTCTCTCTTCTTCTTTTTTTTTGTCTGTATATTTCTAGAACTTTCACATTTCAGTAGTCTTTTTTTCTTTTCTTATCAGTCAGATCTGTTGTGTCTACTATGTTTATTTGTATAACATCATTTCATTAATATTACTCATCTGTTTTCAAAATCAAATCAAATTGTATTTTGTTTTTGATTTGTTTCTTTTTTTTTTTTCTTCTTTTGTTGACTATATTAGTCGTGTGTGAATTTGATGAATTCATCATGTTCTTTCGGTCTTTGTATTGTATTTTCTAGAGTCTAGTTTCGTGTTTGTTTGTTTGTTTTTTTTCTTCTTTTTTTGCTATTAGTTTTTAAAAGTATTCGCGATTGAAAAAAAAAAAAGAGAAAAAAATTATGGATATTTGTTTGTTTTCCTTACTCTCTACGTCGAATCAATTTATTAAAAAAATTCGTTTTTTTTTGTTTTTGTTTAAATGATGATGTTCAAAGTCGGTGAAATATGTGTTTAACTATTATTATTAATATTATTATTATCATTATTATACATCAAAATACTTGTTGATATTTTCTTTCTTGTTGTTTTTTGTTTAGCGCCTTTTTTTTCTTCTTCTATTCTCTTTCTCTCTAAATGGATACCTTTAAAACAGAGCTTTCAATTTTGGTTTCTTGTTTTCTTGTATTATTGTAAATATATATACATATATATATTTAATCGTGTGTTTGTTTTCTTACTTATGTAGTAGAAAGACATCAGTTCTCTCTTTCTCTCTTCTTTTATCGCTCTATAAAAGAAATACATATATTCAATACACACAAAATTGATAACTTACAAAATGACAAAACGAGAGAAAAACAAACAAGTAGACGCTCTGGCCAGCCATCTCTGCTACCGGAGTGAAATTCCGTAACGACCTTTTTGCATTTTGTTTTTCTTATAATGTTTGAGTAACGGGACGCCTAGAGATCTAGAATATCACAGATTAAAGAGAAAAGTGTGCTAAAGATTCTGAGATGTTTCTACAGTCTACACATTCTTTCATTCAGAAACTATGAGAAAAGTACAAACATCTACTTTCCAAAACTTAACCGAAAAAGTAGGTTATTTGTATTTTTCTCATAGTTTCTGAATGAAAGAATGTGTAGACTGTAGAAACATCTCAGAATCTTTAGCACACTTTTCTCTTTAATCTGTGATATTCTAGATCTCTAGGCGTCTCGTTACTCAAACATTATAAGAAAAACAAAAATGCAAAAAAGTCGTTACGGAATTTCACTCCGGTAGCAGAGATGGCTGGCCAGAGCGTAGATCAAATGTTGCTATTAAAAGTCATTTTATTTTGATTTAATGAAAATTGTCGAAGAAAAGATAAAGGTATGTTGGTATAACACTATTCAACATGTAAGTGTTGAAGAGACAGAAATTAATACGAAAAGTTAGATACGAGTATCTATCGATCAATAATTTGTCGATACGTATGGAATATGTAAAAGTAATCATTGAGAAAGAGAGTACTATGCAGTTTGGCTGTTGTTTATCAAAAACTTGTAGAATGCCATTTACTATGAATGTGTCTGTTTACTTCTAAAAAATACCCTTGTTCTTTGCATGCAGAGTTGCCAAGTACAAAAATCTGCAGTTCGGAAAAAATTCCGTTAAAATTGGAAAAAAATGGTATTGAAAATCGGAAGAAGCATTTTTTTCAGAATACCTTACACAAGGTAAAGATATCAGGCTTTCTCTGCTATAACAATACATGTTCGTTTTTTTCAACAGAAAAAACACATTCAATGATAGTTAAAAAATGTAATATCTGAAATATTGACTCTTTCTTTTGTGTTTTTCTTTTAACTGTTCATACATAAAAAACAGTGAACTGTAATACAAATCAAAACAAAAACATACTACGTCTTTTGAATACGTGGATGTTTTGCTATATGTATGTATTTATTTTTGACTACTTTTTTAGATCTGGCTTTCAATAGATCTGGTTTAGATAGAATTAAATTATAAAACTGTTTACAATCAATACCTGCACTATTCAATCTTGTTTTCAGCTCATCTCAAATAACTAGACTATGTCTTTATGCATAAAAAAAGAAATGAATGATTCTTTTTGTCCTATCCTATTGGCATTCCCAATATATACCATAGAACTTACCCACGCACAGTGCGCATTTTTTGCATAGCAGGTGGTCATGTAACTTTCGTGTCCAAAAACGGGTTTCTTTTGCTCAAAAGTGGCTCTATATCACTTCAAAAACCACCTTTAAGAAAAAAAAGCATTTTTTGAAAAAATATTTTTTCCGACGAAAAACACCTGAAGGGACCCTCACCTACATTTTTTCGAGAAAATGTTTTTGTTAGAAAATATATTGTGTCATACACCATCCGATGCAGTTTCACACGCTGATTCCGAATATGCCATTAGTTTTCAACGGAAATGCTTTGGTGTCTAAAAAAGAGGAATCGAGCATGAAAATCAAGGCTTTTAGGACGTTTTTGGAAAACCTACCATTCGGTCCAGAAGCGTCGGCGCTGATTGGCGCTAACTGTATTGACATGTCATATATAAGACAGCATTTCCTGAAAATTTCATAAAAATTGGAGCTTCACTAAAGTTCGCGCACGCATTGCATCAAACACACCTGAGAAAATGTGCCAGAAAAATGTTTTATTTTTTTTCTCCAACTTAGAAAGCCCAAAAATAGAAAAGTTTTTTACTAATCGATAGCGCACTTGATGCTGATTCCGAATATATGTTTGTTTGCTCAATAGCTATGTTTGATTTTTTAAAATTTTTGCGTATAATCCGATTTTCCGATGGACACGGGTTTTTAGTGTGTTTTTGTGTATAGGATTTTCCCAGCTTAAATAAGTTCTAGGACATAAAAATTTTGCCATTACATAAAGCATGTTTCAAAGTATATTAATCATCCTTAAAATTACTGAAAAATCAACTTTCATTGTTTCATCAAAAGCCGGCCTGGATGCACACTGTGTACCAGTTTGAAATTGCGTCCTAACATAGAAGTTCTGAGTTTAATTAATAATAACTTAATCTGACAAGCATTAATCGAAAACAAATGATTCGTTAATTAGAGGGCATATAAAGATATAAAGTATTATTCGTCTTACTTATCTGAAACTTTCTTAAGTTTATTCCTCGAATTTTTTTTCGTTTAAATTTTGATCGTTTTAGTTTTTTACGTTTCAGTGGAGGAGATATCAATAAAAAAAACTTAGAACAATACCAATTAATAGAAAAGGATATGTTACATACATAAACTTGCTTACTATATCATCTAATTTCTTATATTGCCAAACATGTGACATACATTCACTGGTCGACGTTCTTGTGGGTATTCTTGCAAGATTTTTTGTTTCTTGGCATTTCAGACAAGTATCTTGTAAAACATTTTACATGTATTTTTATCACAAGAAAGCGATTTGCAGCAAGAATGTTGTCTTGTAATTCTTAAAAGAATCTTGCAAACAAAAAAAATGCATATATAACCCATTTTTCGTCTTCTTTTCTTTTGATATATATCATAAACGAGCAGCCGAGTTCATAGAACTCTATATTGATAAAATTTTCAAGATTAGCAGAAAGAATTCAAGAATTAGCATAGTTTTTTTCCAGTTTCCGAAACTTCAGAAATTCAGAATCAGCATCAAGTATTCAGAAATAAAAATCAGGCTTTTTCTTAATTCAAAGAATTCAACAATTCATAAATTGAAATCATCTTTTTCCAATTCTAGAAAGATTCAACAATTCAGAAATAACTATCAAGGATTTTTCTTAATTCAAGAATTCAGAAATTGAGCCAGACTTTTGAGTTTTTTTAATTGAAAGAACACAAAAATTCAAAATGTGACTTTTCTCAATTTCTTGAATTCGAAAAAGCCAAAAATTCTTTGAATTTATATCAAATCAGTTTGAACAATTGGAATTCTAGTATTCAGGAATTGAAAGAATACATAAGTTTTAATTCAGAGGCTAACAAATAGGAAGTCTCTTTGTAATCATAGTGTGGTGTGGGGTGGAGTCGATTCCTGAATTGTTGAATCTTTCTCGAACTGGAAACAGATGAATTTCAGTTTATGAATTCTTTGAATTTAGAAAACACTGGAATAAAACTCTATGCTAATTCTTGAATTCTTTCTGCTAATTCTTGAATTCTTTCTGCTAATCTTGAAAATTTTATCAATATAGAGTTCTATGAACTTGGCTAGAGTCCTGCAGGTTACGACTTTTTGACAACCTATAACCTCATCTATAAAAATGTTCACAACCTAAACCTAACCTAACCTACGAAACTCGTAACCTAAATCTAACCTAATCTATTAATGTTTTCCGTAACCTTACCTAGGTTAACCTAATAAAACCTTTTGCAATTTTTTCCCAAAACCTGGTTTCAGAAGCCCAAACTTCAGCTTTGTTCCATATCGTTATTGCTTTTCATCTAAACACCGTCTGAAAGGTAAATTTATACCAACTAAATCACACATTACATGAATATAGAAATGAATCGGTTGAGTCTTTTATTCTTTAATGTAATCTTTGGAAAATAGCTTTCTGAATAGAGAGACCCTCTTAAGAGTAGACCAGAATTTCACTTTAGCCTCTCGATGCTATGAAGGTTCTGTTATTGTTGTGTATTCGCCATCTATCTTTAGCAAACGTAAGTTTTTTCTCTGACTTCCTTTTTTGATTGTGCTATTTTTCAGTTTAAACTAGAGAACCTCGGTCTGATTTATCCTCAATCGATAAAATTCCACTCAGGCTACACTTTATTACTCAAAGTGTTGACTGTTTTAAAGTGGTCGTTCAAAATCGACTTTTATCTTTTAGGTTAAAAATAGGTTATCAATGGTGTAACTTACAACCTAACCTATAAAAAGTTTCATAACCTAAACCTAATCTAACCTACAGGTTAGGTTAGGTTTAACCTGCAGGACTCTAAACTCGGCTGCTCCTTACTCGATATATATAGGAGCTGGACACTCTGATGTCAATACAGGCACATGTAAAGACTCGATTGTCTTTCTACAAGAATCTTATGAGATTTAAAAGACTCTTAAAGACATCTATGTATAATATTGAGCTATATTATGTAACTTATTAGCATAGCAGCGGAATCGACAAAACAAATTGATGATTTTGTCGTCAACGAATCTTGCCACTTTAGACAAGAATCTTTAACGAAAAAAGATGAAAAATGAATAAAAAATTAAAAGAAGAATCTTGTCTGATCTATCAAGACAAAATTGAGGATTCTTGTCTCAAATGGCAAGAGACAAGACTCTTGCAAGAATATCCATAAGAACGTCGACCAGTGAGCTGTCTCACACACATAGAAAAAGAAAAAAAAGAATTGCTTTAAGTATGACGTTTTGTTAATCAGTTGAATTCTTTTAAGAATATGTGCTTTTCAAGAGAAAAAGTAAAAAAGTCCAGAAATCAGAAAGTCAACATTCATTCGGAAAAGAAGCTCAAAAGCGGAAGACTTGGCAAACATTTTGACTACGATACTTTTCAAATCCAGAGATCGGTGCAGAGTTGTAACCGATTGAAAAAATTGAAATCGGATCGGATCAGTCGATCAGAAATTAGCATGAGATCGGTAAAAAATCGGTGCCCATTTCGTCGAAAAGTAGTCAGTGTAAAAGTATATACTTCAAAAAATTCAAAGGCGGCCGCAGCGGTGTGCGAGTGAGTTTTCGACGAAACGGAAACTAACCGTCAAAAGAGAAAATAATAGAGAAAATTTGTTAAAAAACATACTGACTTCCGGTACGAGGTTAAAGTTTTGTACTGACTACAGCTTCATTTAGAAATATTTTCTACGTTTTTCATACTTTTTTTGACGGAAAAAAACTCCCCCGGAAAAATATTTTTTTGAAAAATAAATCGTTAAATGTCGGCTGATTGAAAAATTTAATCGGATCGGTTACCGGTCGATCCGGTTACAACTCTGGGTCGGTGCTCATTTTTTGAAATAACTTTCGCTACAAAAAGAAGATGGAAATCTGGAGTTTTCAGCAAGCGAAAGTCAGTAAAAGAAAGATGTCTTTTCGCAAGCAAAAGAAATTTTAAAATCCTTTTGGATTTACACAGTTTTGAGTAGATCAGCCTAGTTCTCTAGCGACTGAAATGGAAACATAACAGTTTCGTTACCTTAGCAGATGATCTAAAATATCAGTATAGGAGTCAATGGCTTGGTCATCTAACTCTGCTATTGCCACGTTTTATTACGTTTTGTTTCTCTTAGAATTTTCGAACGGTGAGTTGCCCAGAGTTTAGGAACGTCTCGAATGGATGAGAATTTTGAGATGTGCTCGCAATCCATACGATCTTTTGTTCAGAAAATATGATAAAAATACAAACACCAACTTGTCAAAATTTATCAGAAAAACGGAATATTTGTATTTTTATCATAGTTTTTTTAGTAATGTAAAGAAATGTGAAGTATTTTTTCTCTACGAGTGGCTGAAACCACTTTGTGGAAAATAAACCTATTGAGAGATGAAAAATGACACATACGTAGTGACTCGGTCATTTCTGTTCAAATTCATATTTGGTCATTTTCTTACAGAGATCGTTTCCCGCCCTTGTTTAATGTTTTTATGCTGATATTGAACAGGCAAATTGTAAATATGGGCGAAGAAAGTGAAAATAATTGCTGATCTAATTTAACGAAATTCATTGAAGAAAAGCGATCACAGCTATTCACAAATTGTAGAAGCAAATTTTCTCATACGTTGAGATAACCAAACAGTTTTGATCAAATAGACCAGCGCTAGTTATATTCGAGTTATACGTAACCGTTTTCTTTGTACTACCAACTTTGTCAATAATTTCTAGTGTTTTTGTTCCTTTATGAACAATTAACCATTCATCGTGTGGAAGACAAACTAGACATCTGGTCAAAGAACTTTCATCTAAACGAACTTGATGTAATATTTCCATTGTTCGGTACTCACGAAGTTCAAACCTCCAATTGTTATTGTTATCTGCTATGGTTAACCCGATATGTCCGTCATTGCTACTTGCAAATCGAATTTGTCCGATCCATTCGTTCGTGTTACATGTAAAAGGTGTTTTCCATTGTTTTACTCTTTCCCAATTTCCATTTGAGAGTTTGTACTGGTCAACTATCGAGCCCCATCCAAAATAGCTTAATAGTATTGTCTCTTTTGAACATGTACAACTGTACAACGGTATTTTTCCTCTGTTAACAGAAATTTGTTTGATCTCTTCGATTTTATTCTCTTCTGCATCGAATGTAAATACGTAGTAATCTGCCAAAAGAATAAATTTACTCAAAATGGAAGACCATGTGATATCATTAATTTGTCCATGAGTCCATTGAATCTTCTTTCTTAATGCTGTTCGATTTGTCAAGTAGAGTTCACTTGAACGATTTTCAGTATATAAAACTAGGGTGTCTGCTGTTCCGATTACAGTTGATGATGATAAAACACCTGTCTGATGTCCTAGCCACTGTAATATGCCTGTATTAAAATTAATAAGTGCATTTGGTTGTTCATTTAATTGATCAAATTTGAGTGCAATAGATGACGCAGATTTTATGTTTAATTGTCGATCTGTTTGAACATGTTCGTTCAACGATTTCATTACGTAATTTTCTGCCATTGTATTTTTGACTAAACAAAAAGAGGTTGTACAAGAAGATGTTGTAGTGTTAGAACATGCTTTTTTTATCATCTTCTTGCTCCCGAGACAACCGCTCTGATGTACACTTATTAGAAATTTATGGTTTTTTCTTCTAATATATAATTCACGTCATGTTGCATCATTTCATACAACGTCAGGAAGATTCTTCGTTCACTCTAATTAGGCCTAGGTCCAAAACAACTGACGTTTAATAGAGCATAAATAGTTTGTTAACGAAATGGCTAACAACAGGGTTTCAACAGACTTTTAATTGTGAAAAAATGGTCAGTTAACAGGCACCATTTATTGCCTAAAAACAAGCAATTAATTGTGTGTTAGTAAGGCTCAGAATTAGATAATCATTAAATGACATTTTATTGTCTGTTTTATGACCGTTACATAAACAGACAAAAATGGGTATTTTTAACATTTACCGTTTAATTCATCCTTTTGTTTCGCTGACCTTCCTAATATAGATCTCACGTTGTTTTCGCATAGAAAACGTAGAGTTTTGTTCTTCCTCGACTACAAAGATCATCGAAACTTGTGTTGAAGAAATAGCTACTGCTTCTAGGGCTGGTGTCAGTGATGGCACCGATCATACCTCGTCAACTGAAAATATTCAAAAATTTGAAAAGTCATTTATTTCATGGTAGTGATTAGAAAGAAATTACTCATGATCAACAGTCGGATCCTTTTGTTTCTTTCTGCACTCCGTTCTTCCGTTCTTTACTCAGATATAAAAAACAATGATTTCTACGAAAGAACTTGCCGGTTTATTTTGATTTTTTACTAAAATTACTGATATAGTCATTATTTAAGACATTCGCCTGGACCTGTACAACCGAACTATCCTTGAAAATAAACTGCTAACGGAAGTAAGACGAATACATCCGTCTAACCAAGAACGAACTTTACCTGCCTTATTTTAAGGTCGATTACTTTTTGTTGAACACAACGCCCTTGTTTTGTGAAAACTTTCAGGGCTTTCCTTCGTCAGAAGGAGAAACGAAGTTTTACGTTAAAGGGGTTTTTTGGTCAAAATGGCTGTTTTTGCACTTTCTGTTACCCGTCCCAGTTACAAGAGATCGAACGAACAGGACACGAATAGCGTAGTGTCTCGTAACTGACTGTTTTGTCTTTTTCTCTCGTTAGTATCAGCCTCATCATCTAACATATCAACGAGAACAGCTTACTGGTCGTTAAAAGTAGTTATCGAAATAAAGGTGTATTCATGCTAGAGCCGGAATTGGATATTTCTTCAGGCTTAGTTTAAGGGGAACGATAGGTAGACTAATGAGTACTGATTATATATTTGTGCGTGTATCTAGCAAGCAAGTGTTCACGTTTTGCTCCCTACGGCAACTCTGACAAGCTTTTGTTTTTGGACTGTAAAAAGAGACAGTGAGATCCGAATTAAGACCGATTATTGGATAAATTAAAAGCCTGAGTGTTTCAAGTAGAGTATGCTACGGAAAGGACTGTTGAAAAGTTGGATTCCCGTGAATGGCTAATGAATTCAGTCACCATTGAGGGTGATGCGTTTTGGAATCTCAGATACTCGCATGTAATTGCTATCATCTCGCCTACACTCATAATATTCGAAGGACAGAAAAAGCTGGAACATAGTCTCATGGTAAATGATACAACATGGCATGAAATTATACATTAGAAGAAGAAAACAGAAATTTCTAATAAGTGTATATCCGAGCAGTTGACTCGGGAGCAAAATCATAAAAAATCATGATCGAACATTACAATATCTTGTACAAACTCTCTTTTATCGTTGCAGAGAAATTTAATTTTTTTATAATAAAAATAGATTTTCTATTAGAACAATGCAATTTGCTATTCTGTTGATTTAAAATTGTGTATATTTTACCTTTATGAGTGTAACGCGTACTTTACTTTTCACTTGTTCGCGATGAAACAAACTTGAAATAGAACATTGAAAGATTTATCTAACACAGGTAATAGTAAATGAAAGTGATAAGAAAATAATTACTTCTGAATTTTTAAGGGCTAATATCATCTTTCTCCTCGTCTTGATTTGTTCTGGATACATCACATGCTCTATTTTATATTATTTATTTTTTTATTTGCAACCACTGGCGACCTTGAAGGATGCTATTACTACGGAATCTATCCCAAATACTAAAAAAACGACGAGTTAATAAATAGAGAAAATACCCATCCAATGCAACAAAGGCTTCACACTGATATAAAATTCTATAACAATACAAATCGATCTAGCAGATGCAGGGCTGTAGCCGTCCATGTAGATTTAACAAGCAATCAGCAATTAAAACATTTTCAAAGAATCACTTTTGACCGGCAAAGATTTGTGAAATCAAACTGTTTATCAATCATCATCAAAAAATTCCTACCTATTTATATCTTCTAATCCAAAAGGATGGCTAGAAATCGTTTTCGCTATTTATCGCCAACATTTCTTTTACGCTTAACTCTTCCATTACAAGTTCGAAGAGCCTCGTCAACCCTGAAGAACGTATACTCCTTCTGCTAAACTATCTCAATACCCGGAGTGGAATTAGTGATTTTCTATCTATTTTGAAAGCATATTTGATCTAAATAGTATATATCACTATATGGTTGTTTAGGACTGTGGTTAAACAATTTGAGTCGCTTTTAAAAACGGGCTATATGTTTTTTGACTGAGATCACCGCTAAGTGAACGGAGGCGAAGGCTTATGCAAACATGGAAAGTTTTTGAAAATATTGAAATGAAAAATGCCCCTGATCGTTCTCCTTCTTTAATGAACGAAACACAATAAATATTCACTGAGTTAAAATTCTCAATCATTCTCTTGGAGCAGAAATGAGTTTAAAAACAAAATAACAGAGTAAACAACCATTGAAAATATCGTCTCTATTCCGGTTGTATAAATAAATAAATAAATTCAAATTTGCAAAGGTATCCAGTGAACAGGAAATAGACCGTTTTTGTGTCACTCTCATCAGAATAAGAAACAGAGCGAGTTACAGTGCCTGACTAATGTGTGCTTAAAAGGATGAAATATACGTTCGATTACAGTCAGTAAAAGATATTTCATGTTTCAATTCCAGACAGTATCAAGACCTTTTTCTCATACAAAGGCAAGTCGATAATATCTAACTCCATTCATCTTGACTCAGTTCTCTAACTGTTTATATCACGATTAGTTTTGAATCAGAAGGCGAGAAACGAGCTAATATTAGAAAGGAAAAATACACAGTTGATTGTAATTAATATATTTCCATGTCATATGAGTACGTCAACATCGCTGATACTGTTCGAGTTGGATATCACATATCAACTTGTCCTGTTTCTTCATGGCTGGAAGGATCTCTCTCATACAGATTCAGGAACCTCCAAACAAGAAGATTAAAAGCGAAAGTTTGAACGCCGCTTTTTTCTGTCTAGGATATATTTTGTTAGTTTAAAACAGTTTTTTTTTATACTTTTCTTTTACAGTGGAAGAAAGATCAGGAACTTTCTAATGCTGAAATAGTGAAGTAGGCAGTGACTGGAATAATTATCGAAGGAAAGTAACTAGATCAACATTGTGGCTCACATTACATAGCTCGCCAACTAGTAGCCGTGGAAAACAAGGACAGAGAAGAAGTTTCCAAGCGCTGCATTCAGCTATACACAATGAAATGCTTTCTATACAAACTAATAAATAAAGCACTGAGAGAAAATGACGCGAATAAAATAAACACACTCGGCCCATTTTGCTACATTTTGTTCACACAAATACGAAACATACAGCGAAACTCTATCGAGGTGTAAACATTGTTATGTAGTAAAACTATCTTGATTAATTTTCTAACTTGTTCACTTTATTCAGTAACAAATTACGATGTTATACATTTGCAAAAATACAGCTGTATATACATATCAACGAAAGTCCGAGAAAGGATTAGAAAAGGATCTAATGACGTCAGAAGAACTGGTCAGAACATGACATTATTAGGTCATGACGTACAAAGAAGAATAGGAAAGAATATGTCATTTACTACTGACCGGACTAATGACGTCAGTAGAACAAGATATAACATGACGTCAGAGGAATAAGAAAGAAGAATAAACATATGATCTCTATACGTCATCATATCATAACATGTGATATGAACAAAATCGAATACAGTAAAGTATCTCGCGTAAGAAAAGAACTATTACTTAACAGCTCCTAACACACCTCCCATGGTACAAGATGAAGCGTCCTCGCTCATCTTTACAGCCAAACAAAACAGAAAACAAAAACGAAACAATGAATAAAAAATATCGTAACTAAAAGTGATTCAGGAAAAGATTGTTTTTCTTTTCTATTTTTAACAACAATGAATCCACAGTATCGTATGATACCTTTGTAGATCACAGTGATCTAAGATAAATGTTGTTAAATATTGATGTTGCAATTTTCAAATCTTAAATGTATGCATCTGATAAAAATCGATCAGAAGCTGTCACCATCTGACCATATGAGTTTGTCCAACCATGATGCCTTAGCGGAACTAGAACAAACCTAAAAAGGTTTGAGTTTCTGAGCCTCTTTTCTCGAGCTATGGTCGTTTTACTGATATTTTTACCTAATGCATGGCACTTCTAGAAACGGCAAATGATCGAATTTTGAGCTAAAGTTGCGTGCATAACTAGGTGTAATCATCCTTAAAATAATTCCAAAGTATCAGTCAAAATGGATGTTCTCTTCCAGACTTACTACACTTTCAACAAATCTTGATTTTTTTAAAAATTTTGTATATACAGTATAACTTCCCTGAGTGGGTATCTCTGTAAAGTGAGCAGTAGTCGTTGGACCGCTCGATCGCTTTTTGCTGGAAATAAACCGCTCTAAATTAGCACCTCCGTTAAGTGGGCAGTTGAGAGTCTGGTTGTGAGTTGAACGAGAAAGCAACTTCCCCGAAGGAATCAGTCGCCGCGACTCGTTTCGATCTTGCTGAAGAGTCTGATCAGG